TTTTAAAATTCCAAAATGTATTTTTGAGATTAATAATGCATTGCAACTTACAGTTTGAAAAATAACTGAAATTCCCCAGTCAGAATGTCCCACATCCACAAATCAGCCAACGACAAATGCTGGAGGGGATGTGGAGAAAGAGGAACCCTATTACACTGCTGGTGGGAATGTACACTTATACAACCACTTTGGAAAGCAGTCTGGAGGGTCCTTAGAAAGACAAAGATTGACCTCCCTTACGACCCAGTCATACCACTTCTAGGCATCTACCCTGAACAACAGGAACCAATATACAAGGACACATGCACCTCCATGTTTATTGCAGCACTGTTCGCAATAGCTAGGATATGGAAACAACCTAGATGCCCCACCACAGATGAATGGATCCAAAAATTGTGGTATCTATACACAATGGAATATTATGCAGCCATTAGAAATGACAAAATAATGGCATTTGCAGGGAAATGGATGGAGCTAGAAGGAATCATGTTGAGCGAGGTAAGCCAAGAACGAAGAGACAAACGGTACATGGTCTCCCTGATAAGTGGATGCTAAATCCAAAAGGTTAGGTGATACGACAAAACTAACAGGACTTAAGAAACAAAGAACTCCCGCTCATCTGGTTGAACCACTACTAAATATCCCCATGCTGCTGATCACAAATATGGTATATAACATGTGAACACTGTTATATATTACAGACTGTGGTAGACAATTTGCTCCAGGGAAATTAGAATGAACTTGTGACTTTGAAATTATGTAATCATTTAATCACAATCAAAAAAAAAAAAAAGAACCTCGGGGAAGGGAGGGAGGGAGGGGATGGTAGGGGGAAAACAATGGAGGGGGTAACAATGTTCAAGAGGAAGTGTACTCAGTACCTCATTCATGTAACTGTAACCCTCTGTATAGTAGCCTTACAATAAAAAAAAAAAAAAAAAGGAAAAATAAATAACTGAAATTGCAAATACTAGAAGAAAATTCCTCTTGCCTATGACAGTTGTCACATTTAGTTACAGTAACTTCTTTACCTGTAGACCACAGCACCATGAAGACCAGGAACAAAGTTGCTGGCTAAATTGAAGCTCTTAAAAAGCTTCAGGTCTGGGAAGGTGGCTCAGTGGTAGAGCGCTTGCTTGCATGCATGAGGCCCTGGATCCGATTCCTTAGCACCACATAATCAGAAGCCAGGTGGAGCTGTGGCTCAAGTGGTAGAGCATGCACGTTGAGCCGAAGAGCTCAGGGACAGCGCCCAGACCCAGAGTTCAGACCCACTACCAATAAAAACAAAACAAAAAACGCAATGCAGAGCACCAGTGGCTCAAGCCTGTAATCCTAGCTACTCAGGAGGCTAAGATCTGAGGATTGAGGTTCAAAGCCAACCCCAGCTGGAAAGTCCATGAGACTCTTATCTTCAATAAACCACCAGAAAACGGGAAGTGGCGCTGTGGCTCAAGCTCAAGTGGTAGAGCATTAGCCTTGTGCTGAAGAGCTGAGGGACAGTGCCCAGTCCCACCAGAGTTCAAGCCCCATGACCGACAAAAACAAAACAAAAAACTTTATGAGGACACTGGCAGCTCATACCTGTAATCCTAACTACTCAAAAAGCTGAGATTTGAGGATTCTAGTTTGAAGCTAGTCCAAGCAGGAAAGTCTGATTTTTATCACCAATTAACCAACAAAAAGCCAGAAGTAGAGCTGTGGTTCAAGTGACAGAGTGCCAGCTTTGAGCAAAAAATGCTATGGGACAGCACCCAGGCCCTGAGCTCAAGATCTAATACTGGCACATACAACACAATACTGTGCCCAACACTTGAAACTTAGTCTAGCAGGCTCAACCTTAGGTAGAACATTCATACAAATCAAGTGTGGGAGAAAATTCTTCAGCATCTGTGAGTCAGAACATCTGTTAAAGCAGTTTCCCCTGCATAACTCAGAATAAAGATGATTAAAAGAAAAAAAAAAAGGCCTCAGTTACTCTGAGCTAATGTAGCACTTGTCACAAGGTAAGCACTCAACGTTTTAGAACTTAATTTGGAGTCAGGACAATTTGCAAGGTCAGGTGACAAAGAACACCTAGGGAATTTGCTATTTTAGCTCCAGTTCTCACTGAAAAAGTGTTTTGACCCTAACTGATTCTCAGAACCAACCCAACCCAAGATACAGAATAGCAGCAAATGTTCCTTTTCTAATCACGTCAGCAATGATAACCAGTGCAGTCAAAACTGCTCTATATAATTGCTTTTATTGTCTTGCTTTTAACTTTCATTTCTGAGTAAAAGATTGATAGCTCTATTTTCATGGGTTTTGTGGTTTTAAAAAAAAGCAATGCTTTCTACTTTTTTCATATGTACTATAAGGTTGTAAATTATGCAACTGCTCTTTGTCCCTATTGCCAGTATTGAAAATCTAGGAGACTTGAAGTGGTGTTATGGCTCAAATGGTAGAACACATTGGGCTGGGAAGATGGCTCAGTGGTAGAGCGCTTGCCTTGCATGCCTGAGGCCCTGGGTTCGATTCCTCAGCACCACATAAGCAAAAAGAAAAAAGCCGGAAGTGGCACTGTGGCTCAAGTGGTAGAGCGCTAGCCTTGAGCTGAAGAGCTGAGGGACAGCGCCCAGGCCCAGAGTTCAGGCCCCACGACTGGACTCCAAAACAAAAAACAAAAAAATCAAGTGGTAGAACACTTGCCTTAAGCTGAAGAGCTGAGGGACAGAACCCAGGCCCAGAATTCAAGCCCCAAAACTGACAAAAATAAATAAAATGAAAATTTAGGAGACATTTTAGAATTACTTTTGAATACTGTTGTGCTAAAAAGAACTGTGAAAGGCAAGAATACTTTACCTGTGAGTTTTCTGTATATATTTGTGCTGATTCTGGGACTTGAACTCAGAGCTGGGTGCTGTCCTTGAGCTTTATTTCTCAAGGCTTAAGAGTCGATTCATGAAGCCAGGCGCCAGTGGCTCACGCCTAGCTACTCAGGAGGCTGAGATTTGAAGATCACGGTTCTAAGCCAGCCCAGGCAGAAAAGTCTGTGAGACTCTTGTCTCCAATAAACGCTGTAGCTCAACTGGTAAAGTGCTCGCTTTGAGCTGAAGAGCTGAGAGACAGCGCCCAGGCCGAGTTCAAGCTCCACAACCAACAACAAAAACAGCATTACTATCATGTACTCTGGAAAAATCTCACAAGCACTTATGGCACAGCTAGCCGAGGGCACTAGCCTCCCTGATAGTATTTATGTAACTTTTAATGTGCTTCCATAAGTTTGTTGTAAAACCACCTGAACATTGTCAAGAATTCAAATGCCATATTCAAAAAAGAAAAAAAAAAAAAAGATTGGGGACAGGAATGTGGCTTAGTAGTGTGGAATGTTTGCCTAGTATGCATGAGGCTCTGGGTTCAATTCCTCTGTACAACATAGATAAAATTTTTTTAAAGGGCTGGGAAGGTGGCTCAATGGTAGAGCGCTTGCCTTGCATGCATGAGGCCCTGGGTTCGATTCCTCAGCACCACATAAGCAAAAAGAAAAAAGCCGGAAGTGGCACTGTGGCTCAAGTAGCCTTGAGCTGAAGAGCTGAGGGACAGCGTCCAGGCCCAGACTGGAACCCCCCCCCCCAAAAAAAGGGAATTTTTTTTTTAAAAGATGAATTGTGTGGTTAAAACAAGTTGTTAAACAATATTCAACTGCCAGTAAAAACCCAAACATCCTTACTTTTGTTCATGAATCTTAGAAAATAAGGCTTAAAGTCAGTAAGCAAGAGCTATTAAAATTACTTAGAATCAAAAAAAAAAATTACTTAGAATCAGTCGTTATATAGTAATAATTTGAAATACACTATTTTCAATGCAGATGCATCTCCCTACGGTGAAGCTATTTGGGGAGGATGGGAGATCACAGTGTGTAATGATACCAGTGTCACCAGGTGCCAGCGGCTCATGCCTGTAATCCTAGCTTCTTGAGAGGCCGAGATTGGGAGGATTTTATATGCTGCCAGAAAGGGCAGCATATAAAAAGAGATGACAGTGGACTGGGAATGTGGCTTAGTGGCAGAGTGCTTGCCTAGCATGCATGAGGCCCTGGGTTGGATTCCTCAGCACCACATAAACAGAAAAGGCCAGAAAGGGTGCTGTGACTCAAGTGGTAGGGTGCTAGCCTTGAGCAAAAAGCAGCTCAGGGACAGTGCCCAGCCCCTGAGTTCAAGCTCCAGGACTGGCAAAAAAAGAAAAGGCAGCAACCTTTACAAGAAATTGTATATTATGAAACATACTTTCCTCTAACTTTAACCAATTATAACAAACCGCTCATTAATGATTAGAATGCATTGCTTTGCTATCACATAAAGCAGGTTTTTCCCATTTTGCTCTAAAAGGACTCTTTATAAAAATACTTGAAAAAGTAACCACTAATAGCTATATTCCACATTAAGAGGTTTCCACACAGCTCACATATAATTATCTAGTGGACATGATCTAGGGTTTCAACTTGAAAGTACACAAAATTATTATAATGAGAACTTATAAAAAAAAACAATGGAAAAAAATAACAATGACTATTAAATCACTGACTTCTGATTTCAAAGAAAACTATCAATTATTACCAAATAAACAGAACTTATTTTATCAGTAAGTAGGTTACACACAATGGAATCAGATGGAAGCAACAAAATGTGTATTGAAAATATATTAAATAAAGAACTGGGACGGTGGCTCAGTGGTAGAGTGCTTGCCTGGCATGCATGAGGCCCTAGGTCAATTCCTCAGTACCACATAAGCAGAAATAGCCAGAAGTGGTGCTGTGGCTCAAGTGGTAGAGCGCTAGCCTTGAGCTGAAGAGCTGAGGAACAGTGACCAGGCCAAGTTCAAGCCTCACGACTGACAAAAAAAAGAAAAGAAAAAATGTGAAATAAAAGGTCTATATTCTATATATTGTCTTCTACCTTGTTATAATTTTATAAATATAAGGAACTACTAAAACTTTAACTTGATAGTCAACAGACAACTCAGTCTCACATGTTTATTTTAAAAACTGACAAACAAACAAAGCCTGTACAAAAAGTATCCCAAATCAATGATCACTTTCCAACAATAATCTTCAGAGACATTATCGCCTAGGACCCCCTCTTCCTCTGCCACGGCCACGTCCTCTTCCTCTACCTCGGCCTCGGCCTCTTCCTGCAACTGAGAAAGAGGAAAAAAAAGAAATTAAACTCTCTTCTTTCTTTCTTGTTATTTGGAAGGGGCTAAGCTTTGTAGCCCAGGCTGGCTACACAAGATCCTTCAGATCCCTTGAGTACTGGATTACAGGCTGAGATTTACAGCAAATTAAATTCTTTTCTTCACTAATATTACCTGGCCACCAAAAACAGGATGTAAACACATTTCTTCCCACACCCTTATAGCTCTTAATTAGCAGCTAACAAAAATTTAATTCAACATCTCTTAATGTGTTAGATCTCAGAACATACCCCATACACCATCATGAAAAACCAAGAACTAGGGAGACAATTATAATGCTTTGTTCACTTAAGTTTGCTGAGAAATATGTTAGGTTTAGAATTTTCTTTTTGGTCGGTTGTGAGGCCTGGACTCAGCCTGCATGCTGTCCTTCAGCTCTTCAGCTCAAGGCTAAGAGTCACAGTGCCACTTCTGACTTTTTCTGCTTATGTGGTGCTGAGGAATCGAACCCAGGGCCTCATGCTGCAAGGCAAGCTCTACCACCTTCCCAGCCCTTATAAGTATTTTTATTTTACACTTTATCTTAAATTTACCACAACTGCAATACAAATGATTTGGACCTCACACCCAAGATAATAGATACTTTATCAAAGGAACAACATGAATCATGTATTAATGTTTTTATTGAATAAAACCTGAATGTTAATCAAATTCAATAATGTTTAGGTGGGCCTTTTTTTGGTTGTTTTTATTTATTTATTTATTTTGGGTCGGTCATGGGGCTTGAACTCTTGAGTCCAGGCACTGTCCCTCAGCTTTTCTGCTCAAGGCAAGCACTCTACCACTTGAGCCACAGAGCCACTTCCAGTTTTCTGGTGGTTAATTGTTGGTATGAATCTCATGGCAAGGCGCTGGTGGCTCATGCCTGCAATCCTAGCTACTCAGGAAGCTGAAATCTGAGGGTGATGGCTCAAAGCCAGCTGGGCAGGAAGGTCCCTGAGACTCTTATCTCTGATTAACCACCAGAAAGCCAGAAGTAGCACTGTGGCTGGCACTGTGGCTCAAGTGGTAAAGCACTGGCCTTGAGCTAAGAGCTCAGGGACAGCTCCCAGGTCCAGAGTTCAAGCCCCCCCGCCTGACAAAAAAATAATAAAAGAAGAAAAAAAAACAGAGTCTGATGGACTTTTCTTGCCTGGTCTGGCTTTTAATGGTGATCCTCCGATCTCAGCCTGAGTAACTATGATTACAGGCATGAGTCACTGGTGCCCGGCACTGTTTTTGCTATTATTAGTTTCACAGTACTAGTATTTTTTTTTTTTTTTGGGGGGGGGGGGGGGTCCAGTCGTGGGGCCTGAACTCTGGGCCTGAGCGCTGTCCCTCAGCTCTTCAGTTCAAGGCTAGCGCTCTACCACTTGAGTCCCAGCACCACTTCCAGCTTTTTTCTTTTTGCTTATGTGGTACTGAGGAATTGAACCCAGGGCCTCGTGCATGCAAGGCAAGTGTTCTACCACTGAGCCACCTTCCCAGCCCTCACAGTACTAGTATTTTTGACTACATTTTTCATTTGCTCTGCTTTTTCAGCTAGTTGTAGGCAGCTATGCTCTTTGCAGGTCATTTGGAAATGGATGGCCCCGAGTTCAAGTCCCATGACCAACAAAAATAAAAAAGCAAAACACACAAAAAAAAACCCCTATGCCCTATAAAAACCCTACACCCTAATAGCATAGGGAGCTATTAAAAAACATCAGGACTAAGGTGTGGCTCAAAAGACGCGTAAGAGGCTTTGAGTTCAAACCTTGGTACTAGTAAAAATAAAAATAAAGAAAATAAAAATAGACCCAAACAAAGATGCTTATAACTATGTTAGAATGGAAGGTTGGTCAAGAACAATTCCTACCCTGTATAACCTCTTGAAATTTGAGAAAGAAAAAAGAACAGTTCTCAGGCAAAATAAGACCAGAACAAAAAAAAGTTAAAGAAAAATAAGAGCAAAATGGTAAAAATCAGAAAATCAGTGGGAAAGATCAATTGTAAATTCCAGGGGAGAAAAAAAGAACAGACCAAACAAATGCAAAGAAATTAAGCCAGGCACCAGTAACTCTTGCCTGTAATTCTAGCAACTCAGGAGGCTGAGATCTGAGGATCACAGTTTGACACTAGCCTGGGCAGGCACGTCTGTCAGACTCCTATCTCCAACTAACCACCAGAAAACCAGAAGTGGTGCTGTGGCTCAAGTGATAGCCTTGAGCACAGAGGCTCAGGGATAGTGCCTAGTTCAAGAACCAGCAAAAAAAAAAAAAAAAAGGGATAGGAGGGAATATCAAAGTTAAGCTTTACAGTTTTCTTAGCTCTAAGAGACAATATATAAAACAAAAAGACCTACCTCGTACCCAGAGCAAAGTAAAGAAAAAAAAAAGGGAAGGAACTAGATGTGAAACCACTTTTATTATGGAATAAAGTCAATCCCCATTCTTCCAGTGTGGGGATGGTGAGAGACCAGGACATATACCAAAGGAGAGGGAACATAAGAACACTATCAATCTTAATAAGGAATAACAGGAGCTATAATAAATAATATATTTATTCATGGCAAACAAAATATGAGCAATTTTAAATAAAATGTGGTTTGGAAATGTATTTTAAATAACAGATAAGGTTTAAGTATGCTACAGAAGGAAACATTTATGAGCCAGGAACCAATGGCTCATGCCTGTAATCCTAGTACTTGGGAAGCTGGCATCTGAGGATCCAGTTAAAAGCCAGCCCAGGTAGGAAGTCCATGCGACTCTTATCTTCAGTTAACCACCAAAAAGCCAGAAGTGGAGCTGTGGCTCAAGTGATAGAGCACTAGCCTTGAGCACAAAAAACTTAGTGATAATACCCAGACCCTAAGTTCAAGCCCCAACACAAAACAAAACAACCACTCAAATCCTCCAAACTTACCAGCTTCTCTTTTCTTAGATTTCACCTTAGGTTCAACATCCACAAGAAGTGTATCCAGAGGTAAACTGTCCGGTAGAATAAAATATCGAATATTATTTCCTCGAATACTTAATGTTTCCAGCTGTACAGGTTCTCTGTTCTTCAGGGTCATTTTCACAGCTTTAAGGTGTGTATTCATGCTGACATCTACACCTAAAAGGGAAAAGGGCAATTATTATCGTAACTGTAATCACAGTATCAAACCACATTTGACACTCTATTTTATAATAGTACTGTCGGTTCTGCTAGAAAACAAGTAAGAGTTTAGCATATATACTGATATAGGAATATCAATATAATTAGCACTCTTTCATAATTTTCCTAACTGTGTTAGTTTTACACAGCTAAGCATGTTTACAGAAGTAAATAAAGCAAGCCCTGGAAGAAATCTGCCTGTCACATATGCTTTAAGCACATTACCAGTTTGGATGGCTTCAATACCACAATTCTCCCCTAGTCTCTAACTTCACCATACTGCATTCCATCAAACTATGTTTATCTTTGTTTCTGAAGTCCTACAGGCCCTGCAGTATTTTTCTTTACCAAGAGACTTAAAATCTCTTTCCTTTCTGTCCCTGTCTTTATTGTTTTTTTCTTCAGATGGGTCTTCACTATGTAGCTCAGGCTAGCCTGGATTGCTACAAAGCCAAGGCCAGCCTTGAACTTGCTATCCTCTTACCATAGCCTCCTAAGTGCTGGGATGACTGCCATGAAATACATGTGTACATGGCTTAACATTTCTTTTTAAAGGTTAATCCAGGGCCTCTTACATACTATGAGGTGCTGCATTGCTGAGCTGCATCCCCAACCCTTATACAATTGCTTTTTCCTAATTAAACCTTTTTTTTTTTTTTTTTTGGCGCCAGTCCTGGGTCTCAAACTCTGGGCCTGGGCACTATGCCTGAGCTGCTTTTGCTCAAGACTAGTACTCTATCACTTGAGCCACAGCGCCACTTCCGGCCTTTTCTGTGTATGTGGTACTTAGGAATCAAAACCAGGGCTTCATGAATGCTAGGTAAGCACTCTAGTACAGAGCCACCTTCCCAGCCCTAAGCCATTATTTTTAGGTTTTACAAAATACAAACTAAGGTTTTTCCTCATGAATATACAGCATTTTAGAAGCAACTGATTTTTGGAGCCTTTACCAAGTTATATTTTAATAAACAAGAGTAACTAAAGACATACTCAATTTTTTTCCTCTGAAAGTTAATAGCTGGGCACCAGAAGCTCATGCCTATAATCCTAGCTACTCAAGAGGTGAAATCTGAGGATCAAGGTTTGAAGCCAGTTTGGGAAAGAAAGTCTGTGTGTGAGATTCTCATCTCCAAGTAAAAACTAAAAAGCCTTGAACAAAATAGCTAAGGGACAGTACCCCTCCTTGAGTTTAATTCCATTCTGGCACAGACAAAAAAAAAAAAAAGTTCATGTGCAAGGGCCAGATGTAGTAGTACCCACCTATGGTTCCAAGTGAGTGGTGGAGATGGGAGGATTCTGTTTCAGGGCCAATTAAGACAAAAGCTGGCAAGAAAGCCGGGCGGGCGCTGGTGGCTCCCATCTATAATCCTAGCTACTCAGGAGGCTGAGATCCGAGGATTATGGTTCAAAGCCAGCCCTGGCAGGAAAGTCCATGAGACTCTTATCTCCAATTAACCACCAGAAAACTGCAAGTGGCTCTGTGGCTCAAGTGGTAAAGTACTCCCCTTGAGCTGAAGAGCTCAGATGTCACCTAGGTCCAGATTCAAGCCCCATGACCAACCCCCCTCCCCCCCCCCAAAAAAGCTGGTAAAACATAATCTCTAAAACAAGATGAGAACATTGGAGCATGCCTGTAATTTCTGCTTTCCAGGAAGCAGAAGGTGGGGTGGGGGTGGGAGGTGGAAGTCCTCAGGAAGCCTAGGGCAAAAGCAATACTCTATATGAAAATAAACAGCTAGGGGCTTGGCTCAAGACAATGGCTCTTGAATTCAAACTTGGCATCACCTCACCCTCCAAAAAAAGTTAAGATCAGAAAGCATGAGCTTTCTCAAGCTTCCTAAAATGTTCAGTATTTCTAAACCTTTCTTCTTTTCTTTTCTTTTTTTTTTTTTGGGGGGGGAGAGGGTTGGTGATGGGGCCTGAACTCTGGGCTTAGGCTCTGTCCCTTCAGCTCAAGGCTAGTGCTCTACCACTTGAGCCACAGCACCACTTCTGGCCATTTCTGCTTATGTGGTCCTGAAGAATCAAACCCAGGGCCTCATGCATGCAAGGGAAGCACTCTACCACTGAGCCGCCTTCCCAGCCACCTCTCTTCTTTTCTTTTTTGGGTCCGCTCGTGGGGCCTGAACTCTGGGCCTGGGCCCTGTCCCTCAGCTCTTCAGCTCAAGGCTAGCACTCTACCACTTGAGCCACAGCGCTACTTCCGGCTTTTTTCATTTTGCTTATGTGGTGCTGAGGAATCGAACCCAGGGCCTCATGCATGTAAGACAAGCGCTCTACCACAGAGCCACCTTCCTAGCCCAGAACTGTATTTTTTAAAAAATAATTTTGCCTCTTCTCCATTTAAGTGTCTATTGTATGTCTGGTAAAAACTTGTATTACCCTTACAAACAGGTGCAAACAATAAATCCTCTTTTGCAGCCCAGAATTCATTGTTGACTATGAGTTTTTGGTACACATAAGAATGAGTATGATTCCTACAATAGCTGGCAATAATGAAGGTTTGTTAACTTATGCAGGTTGACTCTGAGAATAGAGTTGATATAAAAGCTAAAAAACAAAAACCCCCAAAACTTGTGCTACACATATTCCTAAAATCCCTTAAGTATTGATTTAGTGTACCTCTCTGGAGAGGGATTTTTTTTGCTGGTCTTGAGCTCAGAGCCTGAGTTCTATCCCTGAATCTCTGCGCTCAAAGCTAGTGCTCAACCACTTGAGACACAGAGCCACTTTGGGCCTTTTCTGAGTAGTTTATTGGAAGTAAGAGTCTCACAGACTTTCCTGCCTGGGCTGACTTTGAACTGCAATCCTCAGATCTCAACCTCCTGAGTAGCTATGATTATAGGCATGAGGCACTGTGCCTGGCTTCTAGAGAGATTTTAATGGGACAGCAATAACACTTCCTAGACATGGTTATGGTGAGCCTTATTTTGTACTGATTTCCTTTCACAATTGGCATTGAAAAATTTTAATATATTCAAAAATTGTTTCCGTTTATTAAACTATTTGTCTTGCTGTACTCAGACTGGTTCTGTCAAAAATTACTTATAAATTTTCTATTTTAGAACATTGGAACGTATAGTAAACTAGTATTTTCTCTCATTTGGTTCAATTCTTTTGAAATTTTGCAATTTTTTGGGTGCGGGTGGGGGGGTATCTACTATAAGCAAAGAAAATATTCCCAAAATGTTATGCTGACAATATCCTTAGGTAATGGTTTCCTAATTTCTCCTTCATTTCCCACATATTTCTCACCCAGTATAATCTCATATGGAAACCTTGTCCTTTGTCCTCAAAAACTTCACAATCTAATAGGGAATACAAAATTGCAATAAAATGTACTTTTGGAAAAAGCAACATTCTACACAAGGAATATATATAAGCAAAGGTATAAAAGCAAGAAAGAGGGGCTGGGAAGATGGCTCAGTGGTAGAGCGCTTGCCTTGCATGCCTGAGGCCCTGGGTTCGATTCCTCAGCACCACATAAGCAAAATGAAAAAAGCCGGAAGTGGTGCTGTGGCTCAAGTGGTAGAGCACTAGTCTTAAGCTGAAGAGCTGAGGGACAGTGCCCAGGCCCAAAGTTCAGGCCCCACAACCGGACCAAAAAAAAAAACAAACAAACAAAAAAAAACAATAAAAGCAAGAAAGAATAATCTGGCCAATTCTGTGTGGTTATAGCAACTACTGAATTCTGGTAAGGCTTAAGACCAATTAAATGATTCATAAATAATTCAGATAGAAAGAATGAGGATCTATACTTCAGCAAATAACCAGAAAAGACTTCTGGAAGAGATTAAGAGGGAAACACCTAAACAAACCCCCAAATGAAAACAAAATTCTCCTATAAAAAAAGAGTTCAACCTCGCAGAAGATGTTTGTTGTAATAACAACAGTGATATTTGCTAGGAAGTAAAATGCTGAGTTCAATCCCTAGTAGTACTAAACAAAACAAAAACAGTATAATCTGTCGGGCAGTGGTGGCTCACACCTGTAATCCTAGCTACTCAGGAGGCTGAGCTCTGAGGATCGCAGTTCAAAGCCAGTCAGTGAGATTCTTATCTCCAATAAACCACTCAAAAACCACCAGAAGTGGCACTGTGGCTCAAGCTGTAGAGCGCTCGCCTTGAGCTGAAGAGCTGAGAGACAGCGCCCAAGCCCAGAGTTCAAGCCCCACAGCCGACCAAAACAAACGAACGAACCAGTATAATCATACCTGTAATTGTTCCATGGACCTGTGTTCCATTCTTCAATTCAATGGTTACAGTTTCATGACTCAATTTCATCAAAAATCTATTTAAAAAGATAACAAACAGAATGTTAGCATATATAAAGATGTCATCTGGAAGTCTGAATCTCTAAACCATTACACAACTTAATCTCAGACTTTCAAGGTCTTAGACTCATTTTCGGTCACAAAAAAGAAATTAAGAACTAAAATTGGTAGTATAGGATTCACATACTTAATGATAGGTAGAAATAATCTCTTCTATACCGCTCTTAATTATATACTAAGATCTTAATTATATAATAAGATTTATATATATTACATTATACTTTAATTACTTCTGTAACATGTAGCTCTCCCTCAGCAGTTTACATTGGAGATATTTCCTAACAACATATATTCCAAGAGCTGGATACTCTACTATCCACAAATGTTATAATATAGATGTAGATGGACAATTTTCAATTTTTTTGTTATTACAACAAACTTATTTATACAAGCCTTCACCAACACTGGTTACTAATAATCTTCCAAATTTTTGCCTGGACTACAATCCTATTGGTGCTTCTCTCTGCTAATTGGATGAAAACAGATGCATACACCAATGCCCAGCCATTGGTGAGATGAAATTTTGTATACTTCTATTCCCAGGCTGGCTTCAAACTGCATTCTCTGGACCCTCCCTCCCCCAATATCTAGGATGACAAGTTTGAAAAGCATTCAGTTTCTTTTATGAACTGCGCATTCATAATACTCACACCTCCAGTTAAGTTTTTATTTTCTACCAGTGATTATTCATTCAAGTGTGTGGTTTCTTTAGTCCTACATGTATTTTTTCTTTTTTGAAATTGTTTTGCTATGTTGCCCAGACTCAAAATCCTAAACTCAAATGTTCTTCCTCAGTTTTCCAAGTGTTTGGGAATATAGACACATACCTTCATACCAGGATTTTTCTTTTCTTTACATTTTTAATAGCTAAATTTGTCAATCCATTCAAAATTGATTTCTGTAAGATGTGAGGTACAAATTTGCCTTTATTCTTTTCCCCAGTTAGACAGCCAGCTGTTTCAATAATGTAAATGAATAACCTGTTTCTCATTTCATCTAGATTTATTCTTCCTTATGGTTGTTTTATGAAATACTGCAAAGGAAGAAAAGTTAAAGGGTTCACAAATTATTAAATATTGTCCATTTCTTCCCCTCTACCTCAAAGCATACATGTTGCTATCATGTGAAAGTTAAGTTGCAGACATTATCTTTCCTGTGCACACTATATTTTGAAATCAGGGCTAATGCTTCCTAGGCTGGCACAGGTTTGTGCCTAAGCCATGAGCTGCCTAAGCTTCCCATCTTCACTGGAATCACAAGAACATGCCTACAACATACACTACTGCATCCAGCTTTACCCTATGTAGATGCCACCTTGCAGAATTTTTGCCTAGGTTGGTCTGGAATCCTGATTCTCCTGTTCTTGGACTTCTAAGCAACTCCCAAGTAAAACTATAGTCTTGAGTCTCCAGTGTTTGGCTCTTAGCACAGGGTTTTGTTTTTTGTTCTTTTTTTGAGGAGCTGAACTCAAGGCTGGTTATGTTCCAAGCAGGTTCTATTGATTTATGTTTAATTGGCCTGGAAAGCATTCCTATTTGTGGTTCCCTGTGCATCACTGAGCCCAACCATCATGCTTCACTGGTAGTTGGAATAGGTAGGTTGATAAAGTGTTATGAAAGTTTTACACATAAGCTAGCCTTAAACTGTAATTTCCAAATGTTTACTTCCCTAGTAGTCCTGGCATGTTTTGTTGTTTTGGGTCTGGAATTCAGGGCCTGGATGCTGTTACTAAGCTCTTCTACTCAAGGCTAGCATTCTAGTCCCTGAGCCACACCTCCACCTACTTCTAGTGACTTTCCTGCCAGGGTTAGCTTTGAACCACCATCCTTAAATCTCAGTCTCCTGAGTAGCAAGGGATAACAAGCATCTATTAACTGGTGGCTAGCTGGCATGTATTTTCTAATGAGAACACTGGCCCATATTACCATACCACAAGTACACATAAGGAAACAATAATCCTAAAAATGAATCTACAATGGATATTGAAACATATTTACTTTGTATATTCTACCACAGTGTCTATCATACTAAATGTAGTATGTACTACTACCTATTCTAATGCCCCACTACACTACACTGTTACAAATAAGTATCAGGACAATTAAATGTCTAGATTGAAATAGACATTAAATACTGGCTGAATGTTTCAGTAATTAAAGGGAAGCTAAGCTAATCTATTTTTTAGTGTATAAATTACCATGACAAAAGGAGAAATTACATGGTTTCAAATATACTAGCCCCCAAACCTCTGCCCTGAGTTCAAGCCTCAGTACTGGTACACACTTACATCTGTAACACACAATTTACCAAAATTCATTATTTCACTCCTAAACATAAATGTTAAAATGAAGAGGTTGTACAAGGGTGTAGAGCACGGCTCACATGGCACATTAACAGCCTAGCAAGCTGAAATTTTAAACCACACATATACACACAAAAAGTTATAAGGCTTATAACACAGACAACTAGGTGTGACAACACACGTTTAATCTCAGTATTCAGAAGATGAAGACGCAGAGATCCAGAGTCCAAGACCAGCCTGGACTATATACTAGAACCTAGTCTCAGAAAAACAAGAGCTGGGTATGTAGTCAGTGGTACAACACTTGCTCCAGGCCCTAAGTTTAGTCCCAAGGTAATGAAGAGGGGTATATATTTATGGTTTGAGGGCACACAAAGTTTAATAGTACAGAGAAAGGGCACACAAGGTTTAATAGTACACAGAAGGGAAGAACCAGAAAGGAAAAGGTTAGAAAATAAAGATTTCTTACAAATAAGCTTGTGTTCATTAACAGGCTCATTAACAGTATTAAATACACAAACAGCAGGAAAAAATATGTAACAAGATTAATATCAGGATATACAAAGAACTCACACCTACAACTCAATGATAAAGACACACAACCTCAGGAGAGTGACCTGGTATCTCATGCTTATAATTCTAGCTACTGAAGAGGCTGAGATCTGAGGATCAGTTTAAAGCCAGCCTGAGCAGGAAAGTCTAAGAGATACTCATATCCAATTAACCATCAAAAAGCCAGAAGTGGAGCTGTGGTTCAGGTAGTAGAGTGTCAACCTTTGACTCTGGGACAGGACCCAGGCGGAGGTCAAGCCTCAGAATTGGCAAACACACGCATGGGTGCGCGCACGCACGCACGCACGCACGCGCACACACGCACACACACGAGACACAATTCTGACTATGGTGGCATAGATGTGCCTGTAACCCTAGCACAGTGGAAGCTGAAACGGGTAGATCATAAATTCAAGGTCAGCGTGAGTAATTTAACAGATGCTTGTCTTAAAAAAAGGGGGGGCTGGGAAGGTGGCTCAGCGGTAGAGCACTTTCCTTGCATGCCTGAGGCCCTGGGTTCGATTCCTCAGCACCACATAAGCAAAAAGAAAAAAATCCGGAAGTAGTGCTGTGGCTCAAGTGGTAGTGCTAGCCTTGAGCTGAAGAGCTGAGGGACAGCGCCCAGGCCCAGAGTTCAGGCCCCACGACCGGACCCCCCTCCCCAAAAAAAGACTGACAACAAATGCTACTAATGTGGAACAGCTGTATTCTAATATATTGTTGGTGAAAGTAGTTTTAAACAAAAGCCTACAATGTTTAAACTAAAGGACTACTAGCAAGCAAAAAAATAGATAAAACAAAACTAGGGAATAAATTCCTGATGCCTTCCATGGTATAGATGAATCTCAAAAGCATGCTGAGTAAAAGAAATTATATATATATATATAGAGAGAGAGAGAGTGAGTGTACAAACCTCACAATTCCAAATATGAGAAATTCTAGTATAGACACAGTAATCCCTGGTTGCCTCTGTAACTAGAGTTTGAATGCAAAGAGTTTGAGGAAACTCGAGTTTTTTTCTTTTCAATGACATGTATGTATCTTGTTCATATGTTGTGCTGAGCATCAAATCCTCAAGTTTGAGCATTCTACCTAGCACTGAGTTATATACCCCTCCCATGTCACCCCAATACTATATATTTTTGAGGAAGGTTTGAGTTACAGTGGTGTGTAAGGCTTTCAATGTTGGGAACTGTACACTGCATTTCACCGTTTAATTATTTTTCCTGAAAAGGGAAAATAAACCCAGTGCACACAAGGTTCCAAGTTCAATTCTCATCACCACAACCACAGTGAAGTAGGGGCTGAGGGGTATAAGTTGAGCTCCCTTCCCCCAAAAAAGGAGCCCAAATCTTAATCATGATGACCGGGTTTCTCACCCCATCTAAGCCAAAGAACCAAACAGATTTACTACATTTATCTGATGAATCTTTTAATGTGTAAATCTTTTCTTTTTTTTTTTTAAATGGTGAAAATATCGTACAGAGGGGTTACAATTACATGGGCAAGGTAATGAGTACATTTCTTATCAAGCATTGTAGCCTCCTCCTTTGTTTCCCCTTTTCTTCTTACTATAAGTTACATGCTAAATACTCAGAAAGATGGTGTCCTTGCAACAACAAATACACACTATTTAGAACACAAAGAAACCCAAACAACTGGACAATGTGATATCAGATAAAATTGACCAACCTGGCCATCTCCCATTTGTTAGGAAGATCGGGAGTCAAGACTACCTCCCAGGTTTTGCGAGAAAGGATAAAGTTTACAGTTCCCATAAACGGAGACACAGAAGAAAGCCTGTTGAAAATCCGACTGTTTCGTAACAAGGCAAAATAAATCCCCCCCAAAAGATGCTTTGTTTCTATACGGTACTGAGGACAGAAAACGGGATTAAGCGAGAAAAACTCAATCCAAACTACTACTGCATAAACCTCCAAACTGTGATTCACCAGATGAAGAGCTTGCACAGGTGAACTGTCTCTGGGAACGTGGCAGAGCCCTGACCTAGCCCTGGCCCTGGGTTTGATCCCCAGCACGGCACAACAAGACTACAATGAATCGCCTTCTTTAGACAGTCACCCCGAACAAGGCATTTGCTTGTTTCCGTTTTTCCAACACACTGCCGTATCTATTCATCACAAGTTAATGTCGTCCCTCTCTGATGTGAAGCATCCAACGGACGGGTGTCGTTCTCCCCAGGTGAAGTCCTGCAGCGTCTGGTGCGACTCGGGGGGGGGGGGGGGGGAGCCGGTGAGTAACCGACCGCGGGCTCGCGCGCCGGGCGCGGCCCCTTGCGGGCCGCGGGACACGGTCGGGCTTCCGTTTTATCTTTCGGGGAGACAGCCGGAAGATCCCAGCCCCGAAGCCCGCGCTCTGGAACCGCCCCGGCGTCTCCAAGATGGGCACCAGAGCGGCGGGCGCGGGGGGCCGTTAGCAGGCCGCACGCACGCGGCTTTCCCGCCTCTCCTCACCCGGGCGGCCCAGCTTCCCGCGCCGGCCCAAACTCCCCCTTCGCGGCCTGCAGCCCGCGTGAGTAACGTGTTTACCTGACGAGCTTCATCCTGGCCGCACCGTCGCCGTTTCGGTCCGGTTGTATAGGAAAAAAAACCTAACACTCAGACCAGATGAATGGCCGGAAGGACCGACTCCACGGGCGAGGGACGGAAAGAGCGCGCGGACGCCGGCGGACGGACGGCGTTTCCGCCCAAACCGCGCTGGGCCGCGCTCGCTTCCGGCCGCGAGGTCGGGAGAGCGGCCTCTAGTGACGGGAGGACCACCTTTGTAACCACTGAGGTCTACCTGGTGGTAGACCCCGCTAGGCCCGGCGCCCTCAGCTTTCCACCCAACTGCCCCCCGCTACAACTTCCTCGGGAGCCCGAGGGAGTCTGAGAGACACCTCAAGGAGTATTCTAATTCTGCTCCCACACCAGGAACCTTAGCATTCACGGAAGGTACCTTTCATGCTGCTCAGCGATTCATTCAAAGCACCGCTGTGGCCTGGCTTCCAGGCGGCCAAGCATCGCTGTCTGTCTGCTTCCCAGCTGGCATGCCTGTCCTCTGCTTGGGAATCTGCTCTATATTGGAGTGCTTCTGAGCTTACTGCTCTTCTTCCTTACTTCTTTTAGACTATCTCCTCGAAACTTGCTATCTCCCGTCAGAAATCTTGTATGTTGTAAGGCCAAGCTTAGTACATTTCAGTGGGCCTGGGCTGGGAATGTGGCTTAGTGGTAGAGTTCTTGCCCTGGGTTCCATTCCTCTGTACCACATAAACAGAAAAAGCCGGAAGTGGCCCTATGGCTCAAGTGGTAGAGTGCTAGCCCTTGAGCAAAAAAGAAGCTCAAGAGGCTGAGATCTGAGGGTCACGGTTCAAAGCCAGCCTGGGCAGGGAAGTCCCTGAGACGCTTATCTCCAACTGACCACCAAAAAAACCGGAAGTGGTGCTGTGGCTCAAGGGGTAGAGTGTTCGCCTTGAGCTGAAGAATTCAGGGACAGTGCCCAGTTCCACAGGACTGGCAAAAAAATTTTTTTTTTAATTTTTTTAAATTAGTGTGCATATGGCTCATATAGAGAAACCAAAATGAAAATTCTGTCTCAGTTGTTGAGGGGCCTGAAGTACCCCCATTTTAAACAAGAAATTCAATTAATGAAATGTCCCTAGTCCATAGACCACGATTTCAGTATCAAGGCTGCAATGAATATTTGAGTACTGCCTTCTCAACATTTACCCCTCAGCCTTTCTGAAGTTCCTAATATTCTTTTGGTGACCCATGTGATCCTAGTGATGCTGACTACCCTTTTTATAAATTATCACATTCCATTACTTGACCACTATTGGCATGAGTATAAAGCTAATCCAATCAGGCTTTTTATGGAATACTATACTCTTGTTGTGAATGGAATAGTAGGCCCAGGAGCTGAGAACCTTCTTAGAACCAGGAGGGGAACCAGTTTTAGAGCATTTTGGGATTTTATAAAAGTGATGTGCATAAGGGTTACAGTTACATTGTCTTTTTGGACAATGTCACTCCTTCCCTTGTTCTCCCCCAGTCTTTTCCTCTCCCCACCCACCTATAAGTTGTATAGTTAATTTTCAACATACTGTCTAGTGAGTACCACTTCTGCAGCTATGACTCAAGTAGAGCAGTACTAGCTGAGCAAGCAACCAAGTGGGTATGAGGCCTAGAGCTCAAATCTGCTACTAGAAAAAGAAGGAGGAAGAAGAGGAAGAAGAAAAAAAGAGAGAAATAAATCAGTCCCTTATTTGCAATAACTACTTTTTTTTAAAACCAGTACTGGGGTTTGAACTCTGTCCCTGAGCTTCTGTGCTCAAGGCTGGTGCTCTACCACTTGAGCTACATCTCCACTTCCAGCTTTTTTTTTTTTTTTTTTTTTTTTGCCTCAGGCTGGCTTCAAACTTTCAAACTTCAGATCTCAGCCTCCTGAATAGCTAGAATTACAGGTGTGAGCCACTGATGTTCAGCTACAAGTATTTTTATTATTTTTGTTGTTGTGGGCTTGAACTCAGGGCTGGGGCATTGCCCTTGAGCCTCTTTGTGCTCAAGGCTAATGCTCTAACAATTGAGCCACAGCTCCACTTCAGTTTTTTGAGTGGTTAGTTGAAGATAAAGAGTCTCAAGGGGACTTTTCTGCCCCAGCTGGCTTCAAATCAAGATCCTCCCCAGTAGCTAAGATTACAGGCATGAGCCCCAAGGCATCTGGCTAAACTACATGCATGAAAAAACAAAACAAAACTGGGAGCTGGGTGCTGGTCGCTCATGCCTGTAATCCTAGTTACTTAGAAGGCTGAGATCTGAGGGTCATGGTTAAAAGCCAGCCCAGGAAGGAAAGCCTGTGAGACACTCATCTCCAATTAACCACCAGAAAACGAGAAGTGGCACTGTGGCTCAAGTGGTAGAACACTAGCCTTGAGCTGAAGAGCTCAAGGACAGTGCCCAAGCCCAGAGTTCAAGTGCCATGATAAAAATAAATAAATAAATAAAAATCTAGGGTTGGAAATGTGACTTAGTGGTAGAGTGTTTGACCAGCATGCATGAAGCCCTGGGTTTGATTCCTGAGTACCACATAAACAGAAAAGGCCAGAAATGGCACTGTGGCTCAAGTGATAGAGTGCTAGCCTTGAGCAAAAGTAGCTCAGGAACAGTGCCTAGGTTCAAGCCCCAGGACTGGCAAAAGAAAAAAAAAATCTGACTGAAAAGACAATGAGATACTCATCCTCTCAAATATGTTGGGTCATCATAATGCTTTATTTATGTTATTAGTCTCAAAGATGGCCCATTGAAATGCTATTGTGACCTCATTTATATAAAAATGCTGTAAGTTTTTCTTTGTCTTTTTGTTGGCTTGTTTTCTTTTTTGTTGGTCCTGGAGCATGAACTGAGGGCTTTGTGCTTGTTCAGGCTTTTTTGCTCATGTCTGACACTCTACCACTTGATCCATACCTTGTTTTAGGTTTTTGCTGATTAGAGACAATGATCTCTCAGATTTGTTTGCTCAGGCTGGCTCTCAACCACAATTCTCAGATCTCAGCCTCTAGAATACCTAGGAATAAATGTACCTGGCTTTTATTTTTTTTGTTCTTGTCATGGGGCTTGAACTCTGGGCCTGGGCACTGTACCTCAGCTCTTCAGCTCAAGGCAAGTGCTCTACCACTTGAGTCACAGCACCACTTCCAGTTTTCTGGTGGTTTATTGGAGATGAGAGTTTCATGAACTTTCCTGCCTGGGCTGGCTTTGAACCAAGATCCTCTGATCTCAGCCTCCTACAGGGGTGAGCCACCAGTGCCTGGCCTGACTTTTGTTTTTTTCTAGATTGAATTTTTAAGAAAGAAGCTTACTTTCTCATAGGATAGATCAGGAATAATGAGTTATAGAAGACAGAAGCAGGAATTCAGAGTCAAACATTGAATTAATGAATAGCTTGGTTAAAAGCACATTGGGCAGGGGGAGGATGGGAAGGGATGGGAAGGGGAAACAAAGGAGGAGGCTGCAATGCTTGATAAGAAATGTACTCATTATCTTGCCTGTGTAATTGTAACCCCTCTGTACAGCATTTCACAATAAAAAAAAAAGCACATGGGCATTATTTTCTTTCTTTTAAACCTTACACTGCAACGTTTAGTTAAAAAAAATAAAGAAAAAAAGAATAGCTCTTTCCTTTTGACCCTGTCTGCTTGCCAAAATAACTAGTGTACTCTGGGAATTGAGCAAGGATAAAGAACAACACTTATCTAGAAAAAAAAATTCTTGGGAAAATGACTCCCCTGGGAACAACAAAAAAAAAAGTTCTTGCATAGAAAAATACTTATACACAAGGATGGATATTTTCCCAAAAGGGAGCATCTTGTGGGACCTTTTCTTTGTTAAAAGGGATATTCAAGGGCTGGGAAGGTGGCTCAGTGGTAGAGCGCTTGCCTTGCATGCATTGAAGCCCTGGGTTCGATTCCTCAGCACCACATAAGCAAAAAGAAAAAAGCCGGAAGTGGCACGCTGTGGCTCAAGTAGTAGAGCACTAGCCATGAGCCGAAGAGCTGAGGGACAGAGCCTAGGCCCAGAGTTCTGGCCCCATGACCGGACCCCCCCCCAAAAAAAAAAAGGGATACTCAAGCATTAATCCCATGATGACCTTATAGTCAACCTTATAGTCTGTAGACCTAATTGATAAAACACAGCAAAACAAGAATGACAAAATATATCAAAAGTCACATCAAAGAGAAGAACTTACCTTAAGGTGAATTTGAGCGAAACCCTCAATTTTTTTTTGTTGTTGTTGTTGGTCCTAGGGCTTGAACTCAGGGCTGGGCACTATCCCTGAGCTTCTTTTCCTCATGGCTAGCACTCTATCCCTTGAGCCACAGTGCCACTTCTGGCTTTTTCTTCTGCTTATGTGGTACTGAGGAATCGAACCCATGGCTTCATGCATTCTAGATAAGCATTCTACCACCAAGTCACATTCCCAGCTCCTTAATTTACTTTTTCCCCAGAAATATCCATGAACTTAAAGCACTCATCACATCTTTTAGCAGATGTATCTGTACTCATGCTTAGTTGTGTACTATCTACCTTTCCTTTGCTTTATTAATTAAACTATCTTGGTCTCTAATGTGTCCTAAAAGTCTTTTTTTTTTTTGGCCGGTTGTGGGGCCTGAACTCTGGGCCCGGGTGCTGTCCCCCAGCTCTTCAGCTGTAGACCAGCGCTCTACCACCTGAGCCTCAGCCCCACTTCCAGCTTTTTCTGATTATGTGGTGGTGCTGAGGAATCGAACTGAGGGCCTCATGCATGTAAGGCAAGCACTCTACTGCTGAGCCATCTTCCCAACCCCCCTAAAAGTCTTTTTGACAATGTAAAGAGACTAGTACCCAAGGGCCAGACAAAAGGTCACTTTCCTTTTGGATACCTCCTCCCTGTAGTATTGCCAGTTCCAGTAATAATAACTTGTTGGTCTTGAAATAGTAAGGGTAGAGTAACATTGTGAAAAACTTTATTTGCAACTTGCAGTAGGGTCAGTCTGGCATGAAATTATCCTGTTCACTTTTTCTGGTTTTTTTTTTTTTTTGGTCATGGGACTTGAACTCTGGGCTTGGGCACTGTCCCTGTACTCTTCAGCTCGAGGCAAGCGCTCTACTGCTTGAGCCACAGCGCTACTTCTGGTTTTCTAGTGGTTTA